ACCAATTCTTGACTTTAACTCCAAATTTCCATGAAACATGCAAGAGATAACTAGAATTCACAATTAAGAAGATGATTTTCCTACCTTAGGCCTTGAATTCTAGGTGTAGAAGTCTAATTTTGCAATCACTCTTCAAGTCTTCTAATTTCCAAGCTAATTCTTGTTGAAACCAAACTTCTCCTACTCTCCCTCTCTTGTTCACAGTTTTGGGGTCAAGAAGATGAATAAAAGTGGTGCATCAACAAATGTAAGGTGTAAGGAGTGTTGGTGAATTAGGCCACTAAGTGGAAAAAGTGTAATTTACTCAAACCAATGTGATTTAGCATCATTTAATCTAATTTAATCATTCCAAATCAAATTTAAATTAAATCTACCATAAAATCACATAAATCCTAATTAGCATATAACACTAATCGATTTCTGGTTCGGTCGCCGATAAGACCTTCAATTCGCAGTTCAAAGTTAAAACATGAACATATTCATTCAGAAATCAAATAGATAGAAATGCATTCAAAACAATACACTCATACAATCGATTCATAATATCATTCTTATCAATTACTTATCATGCTCAGTCACAGTTTAACATTAATCAAAGGTGAGGGTTGTCACACTCCAGCTCAGCCACCTTTCCTTCAAGTTGAGCCTGCGCTCCAAAAGCAGCGTCCTTTGATTTTTCAGTTGAAGCAACAATCTTGTTCAAATGGAATGCCTCCCTCTCTGCAGTTCAGCGTCCTTCTTTCTCAGTCTCCAGGCTTACTTTCAGTCTCTCAGCGTTCATTGCGGCCTCCAGCACGGCGTTTCCTAGTTCTTCAGCGCGGGTGATGGACAGATGCATCCTCTGGATACACTACAAAGGATAACAAAGTATTAAAAGGAAAGGAAACAACAGCATAACATCAAAAACAAGTAAAAGAAGAAAACACTTACAGCAGTCATCATCTGAAGGGTCTCCTTCAGAATAGGAATATCGCGGGGCCCATTATGGTCAGCCATGTCAACCGGCATCAACAGAAACCTGGTCAAATAAAAAACAAGATCTTGGGAAGCAACAACCGAATCAGAAGTAGAAATAGGCCTGCCTTGATGCAACATCAGCGGCTCCCATTTCTCAAATGCCTCATTCTCAACAGGATCCTCAGAAGCTACCCCCACCACTGTCTTGCCAGCCTCTGTCCTCCTCTTTTTTGCTCTCGCAGCAACCGAAACAGAGGGCACGGCAGCAGTTGCAGGGGTCTCGGAAGCTCCCACCTCCAACTTCACTTCCATGAGGCTCTTTGCTTCAGCCTTTTCTAGAGGGGTTTCCAAAACATCGAAGGTGCTGAAAGCCTCAGCCTCCATATCCACTAGAACTCTTCTCTTCGACACAGACTCGCCCCCGGCAAAATTGGGGGCAGGAGAGGGCGTTCTCTCAGATGGTGCACCCTGGCTTCGGCGACGATTTGTAACCAGAAGAGTGAGGGATGTGTTAGTCTCGGTATCAGAATCCAGAAGGGAAACAACAAGCCTTGCCTTCTTCAGAATGGTGGAGCGGTAAGTCGGCTGGTAATCCAACAACTCGGGCACAGATCTCTTCTTGCACCTCGAAGCAACTTTTATGGCCTCAGTGTTTTCCCAGTTCAGCCTGCGTTGAAAACGAGAGGCCTCTGCAAAAAAGAAATGACTCATTAGAGTAACATCCAAAACAAAGTAAGAAATACAAAAGACATTAAAGGGAAAGACCAAAACCTAGGTAGCCATCCTTCTGAGGCATCCGTTCGGACTGGAATTCAGTCCCAACAGGGAACTCCCAATTGCCATCAACTTGTAGAAAATTGTCGTTGTGTTTGTCCGAATCAGGCAACCCAGTCACCATATGACAATTAACCGAACGAACACGCAGATAGTACGTGCTGTGGTCTTTGTTGTGTGAAAGGTAGTAGCCTAAAATATCCCAGATGTCAAGGTTCAAACCCAACCACCTGTTGAGGGTGGATACACTGCAGACGACACGAAACAGGTTCACGGACACTTGCATTGGGGTTAACTGGATTTGATGCAGAAATCGGCGCACCAAAGGGTCGAGGGGAAATCGAACCCCTCCCTCGACGATGGGCGCAATTGGAAAGGTGACGGTACTCCTAGTGCCCATACGCTTGGCATCAACCTTTGCCAGCGAAAAGGTCACGTCATTGGGGATATTATAGTCAAGGCGGAACATGGCCATGGCCTTGGGGGTATCAACTAGTGAGCGAAACTTCCCCATCTAACAAACCTAATGGGATAGAGGTAGAACGCAAATAACAGAGTGTGGAACGCAGCGGCGCAAGAACCAGACAAGATGATTGAAATAGAAAAAGACAAGAGAAGAGGGATCACAAGAGGACTTACAGAGATTAGAGCAGCGGTGGTGAACGGGCGGCACTGAAGCAAGACCAGCAGTGAAAAGCCCGAGTAGAGCTCCAATGAGACTAGTTCAGAGGAACAGGAAGGGTTCTTCACTTTTCTTTGAAGCTCTCTAGAAGAACTAAAAAGCAAATAAAGGAATTTGGATTGACAGCCAGAGCATTTATTGCACCAACTAGCGTGAAGGTACATGAATCACGACCTTCAGTATAGAATCGACGCACTATCTCTGCACACCTATCACACGTCGCCACGTGTTATACGAAAGGACGTATGCAGGGGTTGTGTGTCAGGATTGAACCGTCACCAAGGCCGAATTGGGATAGAACCGAAGCGACGCGACGTTTGGAGTATCAAATCGTAGCTCCCCCAAAGGGGAACCTTGGCGCGAGCTAGGGGGCAAATGAAGGTGGAAAATAAGAAATAGGTCGCACCCAAGCCTTAGGCTGGTCCGATCACCCAAGCCCAGATCCAAATGGGTCAGATGAGCATATGGGCAACCTAACTAAGCCCAACTCCATGATCAACAGTGTACCCAAGTCCTCAAGCACTTGGGCTCAACTTGTAGTGGAAAGGCTAGTCCAACTGCGATGATGGGCTAAGCCGAGCTGCAAGACCTAATCTTTGGGCCGAACTAAAGTGGGCTGAGCCCATACTAAGATATCCAAATGGACCAGCCCATCCCAACGGAAGCCTTGTATAGGGCCGAACTGGGGCATAAAGGTACTGAGCTGAGGGAACCTCATAGAGAAACGTGGAAGTTGTGAGTATGTGCATGTGCAAGTTGCCACCTCAGCTGGTCCCCTACATCTAGAATCACGGGAGCTGTTAAACTAGAAGAATGAGGTTTGTTATCAGCATGACTATAATGACTATAAGCACCTCTTGACAACTACCAAGTGGTCCCCCACCTGGTGCCATGCTAAATGAAAATTTGGCCGCACCAAAGCTCCATGAAACCATCTTGAGAAGCAAGCAAGGAACCCTATATTTACTTCACTCACTTCACATTGAAGGTAACTGAATTATTCCAAGCTGAACATCACTTACTTACAAATTTGACTCTCTACACTTCTTCTCCGATCACTAATTCCCACATCGGAGGGGTAATCCGTCCAACTCCGGCCGGACAGCTCTAACGGTGCTTTTTGCTGCTGGGACCTCAATCCTTGGATTGTCCAACCGAGTGCGGATCCTCGATCCACTTTCATCTAGTGCGGAATCCGGTACGCACAATTGGTGTGGTGAACGTGGATCACTTCATCTCTAAGCTCTGCACTCAGTTCCGACGATGGGGATTGAGGACATCCCACCTTCGACACATACTCCGCAAACGGAGAAGACAAATGACAAAGGCTTGGCACTCCCAACAGTCTTAGAAGAACAAACTGGAAACAATAACCAGACTCCTGAATCCGTCGAGCATCGATTACCCTTCACTGGGGGTTCTTCTTATCACTTTCTTCTGGAGAAGGATTACAGAGATCGAATCATAGACTCCATGGGGATGGAGATACAGGAGCTGAAAGCGCAACTTAAAAGGGTGCTAGGTGATCCAACGGAAAAGAAGACTGAAGCAGAGCCCTCTCGCTTGCGATGGAGGAGCTCATCAAGAGAGCCACCAGTGAAAATGTTCCCCAGAAATGAGTCTGGGTAACAAAGCCAGCCTATCCCGGTACAGAGTGAGGCGGCGAGCAGCCACACCCGTGGGTCATGTCAGAAAAGGGCTAAGAGGTAGAAGACGGTTAGCCAACAGACTGAATTCCCTCCTCAAGACCTTTGTACTTGGTTAATCGGCAACAAGCTAAACGAGCAACATCGGGATCATCTGGACCGTACCATTCACCAGTGAGAGCACCGAGCGTTGGATAGGCTCGTCTCCTCGCCATTCTCCCCGGAAATTGAGGCCATGAGACCTCCAAAGAAATTCACCCCACCAAAGTTTACTTTGTACGTTGGGAAGTTGGACCCCGCTGATACATATTAGCCATCACAGACAGATGATGTCTCTATGGAGCCAAGATGAGGTACTGATGTGCAAAGTCTTTCCATCCAGTTTAGGAGAAATCGAACTTCGATGGTTCGATCGACTCCCCGCTGGATCAATTCATGGCTGGAAGCAGCTCTCCGAAGAGTTCCTAGCCAAGTTTGTCTGCAACACTAAGATCCCGAAAGAGCTGGATACACTGTTCAATCTCCGATAGGAAGAAACGCTGCGCAGTTATGCTAGGAGATACTGGGAAGAGTACAATGACCTGGAGGAAAACGTGTGTAGTGAGCAGATGGCCGTTATGTCTTTCAAACATGGTCTGCGCCCGGAAAGTAGGTTAAGACAGTCACTTACCAAGCGCCCGGCCACAGCATTGAAAGATTTACATGGCAGGATTACGCAGTACGCTCGCCTTGAAGATGATCAGATCCCCATCGAGGTAACATCAGCATAACAAACAGCTCGGCACAAGAAGAAACCAGATAAAGGAGAACACCGAGGGCTACTGGTGAATGAGGTGGATAAGTCCAAATCTCACGAAGTCGTCATAACTGTATTCAAAGAACTGATCCATCGAATCCTGAAAAGGATCAAGAGAGAGCCCTTCTTTGTTTGGCCGTCGAAAATGTTGGGAGATCCGGCCCGGCGCAATCAGAAGCTCAGATGCACCTACCATCAAGACAGGGGGCACATGACTCAGAATTGCAGGGCACTGAAGCAACACTTAGAGGACTTAGTAGTAGCTGGGCACCTCCGGGATTACATTGATCAAGATAAGGAAGTGACCAAACCGGGGAACCCACCACCAGAACCGAATATTGAGCACCCACCTCGGTTGATAATAAATGTGATCCATGGAACAACGACTCAAGAACCTGAGGAGACACTGAAAGAAGAGATTGCTAAGGCTGTGCAAATTCAACAAGTCATGTCAGTGGAGCCTGCATTGAAAAAGGTACGCACGGTACCCAAATCCCCCTTGTGTACTGTTTCATTTACTAGAAAAGATTTAAAAGGTATACAGCACCCACATACTGATGCACTGATTATAACTGTGGGAATTGGGAAACGGTTTGACGTAAAACGAGTCCTGGTAGATCAAGGCAGTGCAGCAGACATATTGTATTATGACTTGTTCAGAAAGCTTGGTCTCTCCGAGCAGCATCTCACCCCAGCGGCAGCCCCCATAGTTGGCTTCAATTCACAGTCAGAATGGCCGCTTGGCATAATAGTATTGCCAGTTGTGACAGGAACAAAAATGCTCCAGATAGAGTTTCTAGTTATTAATACCCCATCCCCTTACAACGCCATACTTGGGCGTCCATGGATTCATCAAATGGAGGTGGTCCCTTCAACCTACCACCAGCTCATCCATTTCCCAACGGAACACGGAGTAGAACAGATCTTAGGGGATCAAGTAGCATCCAAACATTGCTTCATGGCGGCACTATAGGCAAAGCAACTCTGTAACTGGGTACATACACTGGAAGTTTCCGAACAGCCAGTCTTGGAAGATGTAGAGGGAACCCAAGAGGAAAAGATAGTAGAGGATTTGGAGAAAGTCCTAGTAAAAGAGGATGATCCAGAAAAGTACTTCCTTATCGGTACCTTACTAGGCACTGATGTGAAACTTTAGCTGCTGGAACTGCTGAGGGAAAATATGGAAGTCTTCGCATTGTCAGCATACGATACTCCAGGGCTGGACCCAGAATTTGCTTGCCACAAGCTCAACATTAACTCTTCTGCTCAGCCTGTAGTACAGAAAAGTCGGAGATCCTCAGTTGAGCTCACTAAAGCAGTAATTGCCGAAGTCGAAAAACTCCTGGCATCGGGCACGATCAGAGAAGTTCAGTACCCGTAATGGCTGTCCAACACAGTCGTAGTAAAAAAGAAGAACGGAAAATGGAGAGTTTGCGTTGACTTCACTTTCCTAACAAAGCATGCCCTAAAGATAGCTTCCCACTGCCTTGCATCGACCAACTGGTAGACTCAACAGCAGGGCATGAGCGCATGAGATTTCTGGACGCTTATAGCGGTTATCACCAGATACCACTGTTCGGTCCGGACCAAGAAAAGATAGCATTCATCACTCCAAGAGGAACTCATTACTACAAAGTAATATCGTTTAGGCTCAAGAACGCCGGGGTAACCTACCAGCGGATGATCACTCGGATGTTCAGGGACCAACTTGGGAAAACCATGGAAGCTTATATAGATGATATGGTAGTAAAAAGCAAGCTTTCTACAAACCACCTTACAGACTTGAGAGAAGTTTTTGGCATCCTAAAAAACTATCAACTTCGCCTCAATGCCTCGAAATGTGCTTTTGGGGTACGAACAGGGACGTTCTTGGGATACATGGTCACTCACAGAGGAATTGAAGCGAATCCAGATCAAATCAATGCAATACAAGATCTTGAAGTACCAACAAAAGCTAAAGAGCTGCAGAAACTAGCTGGAATGGCGGCCGCACTAAATCAGTTCATCAGCAAATCTTCAGATCAGATGAAACCCTTTTTCCAGCTATTGAGGAAAAGGGCAGTGTTTGAATGGAGTTGCGAGTGTATCAAAGCACTGCAAAGTCTCAAAAGATACCTCAGCACACCACCTCTTCTGTCCACTCCGAAACCAGGAGAGGAGTTGTACCTCTATCTAGCAGTCTCAGATCATGCCGTAAGCGCAGTATTAATTCGAGAAGATAACATGAAACAGAGGCCAGTATACTACGTTAGCAAGACCTTACTAGATGCCGAGACACGGTATCTACCATTGGAAAAGTTAGCTTACGCACTATTTATCGCCTCAAGAAAGTTGCAACATTACTTCGAGGGGCATACCATTAACGTCCTCACTGAATTCCCCCTCAGATCTGTATTCAGCCGAGCTGAGTTCTTTGGCCGAACAACAAAATGGGCGGTAGAACTTGGCGAGTTTGACATTCGGTATCAACCCAGGACGGCGATCAACGCCCAAGCCTTAGCAGATTTTGTCACAAAATTTGCTCCCACCTAGAGTACCGAGCTGTGGAATCCGAGTTCAGCACAAGTGCCACGCACCACCGAACAGGGAAAGCCCTACGCTGTGGAAGCATGGAAATTCTTTATTGGAAACATCTGGCAGCTTTATGTTGACGGGTCGTCCAATAACCGAGGCTCGAGGCCACGAGTAGTACTTATCTCACCAGAAGGATTTATCTGGGAATAGGCTCTCAGGCTCGGTTAGAAGGCTTCAAACAACGAGGCAGAGTATAAAGCATTATTGGCTGGCTTACGTAGTGCCAAACACTTTAATGCAGAACAGCTTCTTGTTTTCAGCGATTCACAACTAATGGTAAACCAGCTTTTTGAGGTCTATGAAACATGAGATGAAAGAATGACTATGTACGCAGGCAAGGCCAAAGACCTACTCAAAAAGTTTCAATCCATACGAGTTGAACGAATTAGTCAGGACAAAAACAGCCATGTTGATGCTCTGGCTTGCCTCGGCTCATCAATGGACACCAAGGATGCTAGAAAAGTTTGGGTTGAGTTCGTGCCAGAACCAAGCATTGCATCTCCAGTCCTCTGCAGCAACCTATGACTGAGCTGGATGGATCCGATACTTGCTTTTCTAAAATCTGGTACTCTCCCCGAAGACAAAAAGGAAGCCAACAAAGCTAGACATAAGTCAGCTCGATTTTGGATCTCACCATCTAGGAAGCTGTACAGACGCTTCTATCTTGGCCCTTATCTTCTATGTGTGTATCCAAATCTGGTCGAGAATGTTCTTTACGAAATTCACGATGGGATTTGTGGATGCCACATTGGTGGAAGGTCACTGGTGCACCGAGCCCTCACTCACGGTATTGGTGGCCACAGATGCAACAAGATGCGCAGCAGTATGCACAGAAGTGTGATAAATGTCAGACGTTTGCTCCACTCATTCATCTCTACTCATTCATTAGCCAACCAAAACTCTCACTCCACTCACCAGCCCATGGCTCTTTGCCTAATGGGGTTTGGATACTGTCGGACCATTGGCACAAGGCACTGGGAACAGGCGATTCTTCATTGTTGCAACCAACTATTTCACTAAGTGGGTTGAAGTCAAGGTGCTGACAAGTATCAAAGAAGCGGATACAAAGCGGTTTGTCATGAGAAACGTGGTGGTGCGTTTCGACATCGCGCGGATACTGATTGCGGATAATGGAACACAGTTCGATGGTAAGATCTTCAGAAAGTTTTGTGCCGACCTCAGGATCGAGTATAGGAACTCTTCTCCAGGGTACCCACAAAGTAATGGACAGGCAGAAGCGTCAAACAAAACCATCATCAACGGAGTAAGGAAACCGCTTGAACATGCAAAAGGCAAATGGGTTGAAGAGTTACCCCATGTATTATGGGCCTACCGAACCATAACACGATGCTCAACGGGGGAAACACCTTACTCCCTAACTTATGGAATGGAGGCCATCATCCCACTCGAAGTAGTTCTCCCAACCCTTCGGTCTGAATTGTTTGAAAGCACCAATAATGAGGAAGCTATTGCGCAAGCACTGGATATGGCAGAGGGCCGAAGAGAAGCATCATTGATCAGACTTGTAACATATCAGCAGCAGCTCATTAAAAGTTTCAACCAAAAAGTTTTCCTAAGGCAATTTACACGAAGAGAACTGGTTTTGAGGAAAGTTATGGATGACAAAAGTGTTCTTGCCAAGGGCAAACTTGGGCCTAACTGGGAGGGTCCGTACAAAGTCACAGTTGTTGTTGGAAATGGAGCTTACTACCTAGAGGATCTTAAAGGCAGAGCTGTACCTTGGCCCTGGAATGTAGTAAATCTCAATACTAGCAATAAAATTATCTCCCAACTTCTCTATTAGAATGTAAAGGCATTTATCTGTTGAACAATGCAAATACTTCCCCACTTCTCTCAAATTTATCAAATTCTTGTAATTAGCTTTGATGTTTATCAAACGGAATTAGCTTTGGTACTCACCAAATGGAATTAGCTATGATATTTATCAAACGGAATTAGCTTTGGTACTCACCAAACAGAATTAGCTTTGATGTTTATCAAACGGAATTAGTTTTGATGTTTATCAAACGGAATTAGCTTTGGTCCTAACCCAAATGGACTTAGTTTCAGAACGATTGAATGGAATTTAAATTTGGTTAGCACTCAAACATACCAAGTGGTATTGCTTGGTGGAACTATGTTTGGCAACTAAATTGGATTTTAGCCAAGTGGAATTGCTTGGTGGAAACCACACTAACATATCCTAAGTAAACATCTCTGAATCCACAAAATTTCTTAAGTATCAACACGTCAACACAGTACTGATGCGAACAAACAGAGTTGCAACAAACTTGGCTAAGCTCTGTCAGGAGCAAACTTCCAGCATTAGTCTTACTCAACTCCAGCTGGGAGCAAACAATTGTTTTTTTTTCCAAACCAACCTGGACCTGAGTAAGACACCTCTCCATGCCTTTATCCCATTCAAATGCACCTGTGCTATCAAAGTTCAAACAGACTTAAGCAGTTCTATGTAAGAGCACAATCTTCAGTACCAATCTTACTTAGCTCAAGGGAGGGCAAACAATTTTTTTTAAAAAAAAAACCAACTTGGACCTAAGTAAGACCCTCTTATGAAATCAAGCACAGCCATGCCATATATTCGTTAGGTAGATCGAGCATCTGTTCGGCCCCGAGGTCCTGACAGTGCTCGGCCAGGGGCAAGCAGTACAGAATTAGACAGAGCATCTATTTCAAACAGTACAGAACCAGACCGAGCATCTATTCGGCCCCGAGGTCTTAACAGTGCTCAGCCGAAGGCAAGCAGTATAGAAAACATTAAGACATAGAAGCCAAACAGCATCAGATTGCAAATTCAAAGAGAAAATCCTAGCATCCAACAAAAGGCACAAATGGCCTCATAACCAGCAACAAAGAAAAGAAGAGAAAAAAGAAAAATTGTCTTGGCAAGTATAGAAAGAATGCTCGTCAAGGGGACTGAGCCACAGTACATCAAAACAAAAAAGCAAAAACTTCAATTCCTTTCAGAGAAAACTTCAGCTTTCATTAACAGAGGGAACCTCAAGAGCAGTGTCCACAATCTTGTCCAGGCCGTCTTGGGGTGGAAAAGTAGAGGCAGCTCCAACTTCCTAAGAAGTAGAAGCTTCCTTCACCACATCTCCCACGGCTTCAGTCTCTAGGGTTCTACCCTCTTCAACAATCATCGTTTCAATGGCAACATCACTGTCCTGAGTCTTGTTTGCGGAATCGATTTCTAGGGAAACTTCAGCCGGAAGAACAGCAAGGGTGGAGACAATCTTTGAACCCAAGGATCTTGAGGGAACTGGGACATCCTGAAACAGAGGGGAGCCTTCAGGAACCAGGGCAGCAGCTAAAGCACTCATCCAACCCTTTAGAAAGAGCTTGTCTCGCAGCACTAGCACCTCCTCTTTACAGGCAGTCCCAGCCCTATCCCAACTTTGTTGCCAATGCTTGGCCTTCAACGCAGAACGCTCGACATCCATCACCGCGATAACGGCCTCCAGCTCGGCTACCTTTCCTTCAAGTTAAGCCTGCGCCCCAATAGCAGCCTCCTTTGATTTTTCAGTTGAAGCAACAATCTTGTTCAAACGGAATGCCTCCCTCTCCGCAGTTCGGCGTCCTTCTTTCTCGGTCTCCAGGCTTACTTTCAGTCTCTCAGCATTCATTGCGGACTCCAGCACGACCTTTTCTAGTTCTTTAGCGCGGGTGATGGACAGATGCATCCTCTGGATACACTACAAAGGACAGCAAAGTATTAAAAGAAAAAGAAACAGCAGCATAACACCAAAAACAAGTAAAACAAGAAAACACTTACAACAGTCATCATCT